AACAGCTTTGAGCAAGCGTGCGTACTTGGCATTGTAGCCAGGCATGCCGGGCATCAGACCAGGTGACCGTTCGGGGAACAGATAGGAGCGGGGATTACGCATCGGCCATCCCTATTGCAACTGGTTTGGTGTCACACCAGTTGCAGAGTGAATGGAGTTGTTGTACAGTCCCTTCACTTTGTGCAACTCCTTGTCCCACGTGTTCTGATCTGGAACAATCAATGCGCGAAGTAGTTGGATGACACTCTAGTTGATCTCCTCAACCAGTCCATTGGCTTCGGGGTGTCGACCAGAAGTCTTGTTGAGTTTAATGTCGTAGATCTGAGAAGTGAAGTCCTTCCAATCTTTACTAATGAATCGGGTGTCCCAATTCACTCACAATGGTTTTCGGTTGGCCATACTGTAGAATATACTGTAGAATATACTGTTGATGGAACTCTTCGATGACAAGCTCATTTGGGGCATGGGGAGGAAAAGGAATCAGATTCAGAAATTTGGAGAAACGATCCACTATGACCATGACTTGTGAATTCCCTGCTTCACTCAACTTTCCCATGTCCGTGAAGTCGATGGAAATCAACTCACCGGGTCCATCAGGAATGGGGAGGGGTCTCAACAGGCCATAAGGCTTATGCCTGTGGACCTTGGTTCTTTGACATACTTGACATTCAGCGATGAATTTCTGAGCAGATCCTTTCATTCCTGGCCAATCAAACTGTTGGAGAAGACTTCCATAAGTCTTCTCAAAGCCGAAATGTCCACTCCAACCATGTGCCAAATCCAAGAAATGAGTTCGGAGAGGCGCATGGTTGGGAACACACAAACGATCAAACTTCCCATACCGACGAAATACAAGACTCTCGCACTCATGAAAATCAGGTTGACTGTTAGGGTCAACCTTGAGTTGCTCAAGGATGGGACTAAGGTCCGGATCCTTGGCGGTGTGTTCGACCAGATCCTCCTTCAATTTCCTCCGGAGGTCATACTAACCCACAAGGCAAGTCAAAAACTCAGGATGGCGTGATAGAGCATCAGCAACACGGTTATAACAACCTTTCTAGTGTTTCAACTCAAAACTATAAACATCAATGTCATGCAACCAGCGGGTCAGTGTAGGAGAGAGATCCGTTTGTGTCTGAATCCACTGCAAGGTCTAATGATCTGAGTAGACCTTGAAGTGACGACCCAAGAGGTAGTGCTCCCAATGTGCGAGTGCCTCGCGCAGGGCGTAGAGCTCACGCATATATGTGGAAGTAGCTACCTTGTGGCTGGGCATGCGTTTGCTGTAATACTCAAGCGGACGCAGGCCATCACCGTCATCTTGTTGCTGCACTGCACCAATCCCAAACTGGCTCGCGTCCGTAGTGACTACGAATGTGAGGTTAGGATCCGCAATGCGGAGCACAGGATGACTCACCGATGCCTCTTTCAAGGCTTGGAACGCAATCTCACATTTCTCACACCACGCATAGGCAACATTCTTACTTGTTAATCTTGAGAGTGGGTGAGCAATGACAGAAAATTTGGGCACAAACTTCCGATAATATGAGGCCAAACCAAGAAAAGAGAGCAGTTCGCATATGTTTGCTGGTTGAGGCCACTTTCGGATGACCTCAACCTTGGTTGCCTCCGGCTCAAGGCCGTTTGCAGACAACCGGTGCCCAAGATAGATGACGTTGTCCCTTCCAAACTCAGATTTCTCTAAGTTGAGGTGCAGTTGTGCCTCCTTGAGGCCTCCTCAAGATGCTTGACGTGCTCTTCCATGGACTTGCTGAAGATCAAGATATCGTCAAGGTACACAACCACAAACCTGTTGAGCTTATGGCGGAGTACCTTGTCCATGAGGCACTGAAATATGGCTGGTGCATTCGTAAGACCGAAGGGCATAACGATGAATTCGTACAGCCCATCGCGTGTTTTGAATGCAGTTTTGTGCTGGCCACTCGGATCAACTTCAATCTGGTGGTAACCAGACTTGAGGTCGATCTGGGAGAAGACCTCGCACCCTCCTGCCGCATCTAGCAGATCATCTATGTGAGGCAAAGGATAAGCATTCTTTCTGGTGATTCGATTGAGGCCACAATAGTCAATACACATCCGGAGTTTGCCTCCTTTTTTTGGCACAAACAGGACAGGTGCACCGAACTCAGACTCACTAGGCCTAATCCATCCACGGTCTATCATGTCATCAATCTGCCTCCTCAACTCCTCCAACTCGCCTTGTCCCATACGGTAGACGCAGCCCTCTGGAGGAACACTCCCTTCTATTATTTTGATTTTGTGTTTGACCTGACACTCGGGAACTCCACGAGGTTCGGCCAGAACTTCAGGGAATCGATCTAATAGACAACGAATGTTTGTTGGGACTTCCGGGGGAGGATCATCCTCATCAGGAGAAAGAAAATCAGAACGAGAATTTACAGCAATTACAACTGGATTTGAAGTACTTGGTTCAGAAGTAGAAGGATTATTCACAGTAGAAGTAGATGGAATAGAAGTAGAATTACTTACCGAGGTAGAAAATGCAGCAAAAGTAGAAGGCACATGGAGAGGCTTTACAAGAGCTACATGTACATGCTGAGCTTCCTTGCGCCTGCGCACTCATTTGCAGAATTTGGTTGCACTTAAAACAGCCACAGGGGACTCACGCGTCTCGTCCAATAGAACGGTACGCTCGTTCCCCTTGGCATCACGCACCACAAACTGATTATCCGCCCACGTGGTTCTTAGGCAATGAGCCTTTAGCCAGCCCAAGCCAATGACCGCGTCGAACAGACACTTGTCCATGACATAAAAGTTCAGCTCATGTGTGACAGTGCGGTCCTTGTCAAAGGTGACGCGCACACCTTTGACAACATGTGTGGAGGTGACAACCTCTTGGTTGCCCACCTGGGTCCGACAAGGGTTCTGCAACTCCACTTGCTTCATTCCTAGGCCCGCCTTACGAATCCCGTTAGGAGAAAAGAAATTAGTGGTTGAACCACTATCAATCGGCACGCGGATGTATCGACGGTTAATAAGCAGTTCAAAGAAGGTTAGTTCCACACTCCCTTGAACACGGCGTTGCTGCTTGAGGTGCAGCCAATGTTCCAGGTGAGCGTGGAAGTCAACTTCCTTACACTCCTCCCAAGGCTCAGTGTATAGCACATGAACTGCAACAACCTTGGATTCATTGTCGTTCCGGGCTTCAGGGGCAGACTGTTTATCAGATTCAGACTCCTTGGAGAGGACTGCAACTGACGCTTCAGCTTCCCTCATTGTAGAGAGTGCTGATGACTCTTCTACGCCCTTTGCCTGTTTCCCTGCAGACGATAACAGTCCTGCATAGCATGCCCAGGCTTTTGGCAATGCAAGCATACACACAGTTTGGATCTTCTTTCCCATTCTTTCTGACTGATACGGAGGGCTTCCCAAGGCTTGGTAGAAGGGTCCTCCGGTTTCTCAGGGATTTTCGCATTCTTGGGGAGGTGTGCAATAGTTCCCCTACCCGAACCACGGTTAGGCCCCTTGCTTGAAGCAGTTTTTTTGAAAGCATTAAGTTTTTCATCTTCGTTCACGTCAGACTCAATGGCTGATGTAGAACAGCCCGTATCGGAGTCCGGCTCTAGATCGTCATCTAGAGACAGATCATCCGCGAAGGACTGATCTTCAACCTCCCGATGTTCATGCAGGGCAAGCTGGTTGCTGCTTCCATACCGCTTGCGTTGTGGTTTTCCACCTGCAGCGGGCGCCTTCTTACGCCTGGCGAGGTCCTTGGCCTCTAGGTTGACTAGATCCGTCATGAGCTCTCGCCAGGTGGTATGGTCTTTGAGTGGTAACAGGGAGAGGTATTCTTTAGGGGCCACTCCCATGACTACATCCATGCAAGACACGTCGGTCATTCCCAGGTCTCGAGTGGTGAACAGACCAGTCAAGTGTTGTTCCAAAGCCTGCATGGAGGACCTCCACGTTTGGCCCTTGAGGGCCTCAAGCTTCAGCCTTGCCTTGAGCGCAGCATGCTTATCTTGGCATCGTGTGATGAGAAGGTCCTCGAGGGTGCGTACAGGGGTTACCTTCAGCCACTCAGTCAGGTCAATTCTTTCATAACCTGCAGCAACAACTTGGAGCTCAATGTGATTCCTGCGGTGTTCGCATAACCTCGAAGTATGAGCGCATGGAACTAATCCAAGAGGTGATATCCGCTTTCCCATCGTACTTGGACGGCAAAGTGGCCGCCCGCTTGTCCACTACGGGACCGCTGTACTGTACGCCAGTAAGGACTGTGGCGTTTTGGGCTGATGTCCCTGCATTTGGGACTATGACTAGTGCAGAACTGTCGGCGCTGCCACTTGAGGAGCTGGCACCGATTCCTGCGCTCGTCACAGTTCCACTTGCTCTTGCCATCAGGACTGTGTTAGATTCAGAGACTGGGACTGCAGCAGGTCGAGGGTTAGGAGGGCGGGGGGCAGACATTTGGGACTATTTGAGGCTCATTATCTCAGCTTGCAACTCTTGGTTCCGCTGCTCCAGTGCTGTTACACGGGACTCAAGGTCTTCCAAGTTCCGCAGTCGAACCAAGGCTGCTACGGCAGCAGCTAGCCTCTCTTGGAACCGGTCAGCATTGGCTTCTGGGACTTGAAGGAGGGCCACCTGATCAGCTATGCTTGTGGTTTTGGCTGCTGCCTCTGCCTCCCTTTCCCTCTGCACGGCATCATCATAAAGCTTTTGGAAGAACGGTTTCTCGTTCTCGTCTGCTGCATCCAACATGTCCTGCCATTGGGCAGATGTGATGTCTGCAATGCCGGAGGAAGGGGTGTTATCAGATCTCTCAAGAGGGGTCCGCTCTCCCCTCACATTTGGACGAACACTCCTCTTGCCCTTCCTCACACTCTCAAACAGAACACCTTCTCTCTCCCTTCTCTCTCTTCCCGCTGTCTGCGCACGTGTCTCAATACCGGACATAGATAGTTCAGATGAAAGAAACAATCAATAAATCGCGCAGAGTAGAAGGTAGAACTCCTAGCCGGAGCGGCAATTCATTTGGACTTGGAGAATGACACGCATCAGAATAAAGAAAAGAATAATAATAATAAAAAATATAAACGGAAGAGAGGACTGACTTATCGAACGGGCCCTGATCAGATTAGCTGGAGATCCCCTCTTGTCTAACCTGACAGGGTACATGTAGCACAATAAATCCGCCGAAGAAAACTAACTGCAGCAATGGCGATTTCGAGGGGTGCAGACGGTCGCCGAGCCAGATGCGGGGCAGTATGTGAGAACATGCAGTAAGACCAGTCAAGATCCCCTTGAAAGGAATGCCCTTGCTAGCCGTATGTCCCCCAAGTTCAGCGCAGCAAAGAGATGCACAGGCGGCAACAGATTTACGCCCAAAAGGTCCTCTCCCGTTGGGCCTGGTCCCACTGGGTCCCAAAAGGTCCCAAGTAGGTCGTGGACCAGGACCAACGAGATAGGGGTACCAAGTCAGTCCCAAACTGCCTCTACCGTACTGAAAAGGAAAAGACAACTTTTAGCAAGAATTTAGTAACTTACCCCTACAACCATTCAGAAGTGAAAGACATTGCACCGTAGAAAGATATGTCATTTAGAACAGATACATCATCCATCCATCCATCAGGTGAGAAAGCAATCCACATGCTCACACACACAGCCAAGACCGCAGAGAAGAGGAAGAGAGCCCAGCACACCCCCAACAGGCCATGAAGCACCAAGCAACCTCCCACGGGCTAACCAGGTCACACGGCACTTACCTGTGAGGCCCGACCTCCAAAGATGGATAACAACTCACCCCCCTCTCTCATAAGTCCTCCCGACCTCTAGCTACCACTGCACGAAGTGTCCTAGCATGACTAAGAGGGCCTTCCTACACCCAGGTTGCAAAGCCGGATCCCCTGTCAATGTTTGAAGACCAAAGTAGCAACTTGCAGCAATTCGATGCAGATATGGCAGCCTCCGATCAAGTCTCCCTCTTGAGGGGAAGCCCAAAAGTCACTCAATGTCTTCTTGAAGTGCAGATTCCAGGTGCGAGTACCTCTCACTCTCTACTCCCTCTCGCTTACTCCAATCAGCCTCCTTTGTGTCTCGCCACCCCATCCAATCAACCTGGTCAGGTCCGATGTCGACCCTACATGACCTAACCAGGTGGGGGCAGTATCCACATACCTCACTGCCCCACTTAACCCTAACTTCCAACCCTAATCCGAGATTAGGTTAGCCCTAACCTAACTCGGAATTAGGTTTAGGGTGACTAACACCTCTCGCCAGCAAGTAAGTCCGCTCTGATACCAATAGTTACGATCCTGGTCATTTCCAAAGTGCAAATTCACAAGGAAAGACAATGCCACCCAATTGCAAAAGAAATGAAAGCGCATGCAAAGAGATAGAGACCAGAGGAGAGAGAAAGAAGAAGAAGAAGAAAAAGAAGAAGAAGAAGAAGAAGAAGATGTACACCAGCAAGACCAATGACAATTCCCCCTTCTCTCTCCACCTTCCTCCTCCTCCTTCACTTCGCCA